GGATTGCTGACGGGAGAGGAGGCTGTAGGGCAGGAGATGGAACTGGTGGCGATGGCCTCGTGGCAGCTGAGCAGCTTGGGGCTTGGGAATGCAAGGACACGGCAGGTAGGACTTGGGATCCTCAAGCAGAGCAGCATAAAGCTTCTCTGACATGGGCTGAATCTGAGAACCTCTCAGATGGTCTTGTTAGTTTGTTTTGATGATTAGGATATCTTTCTTCTTGTGTAGGGCACAGGTGCAGAGTCAAGGCAGGAGAGTTTTTAACCCCTTATGGCAGTCAAGTCCAAATGAGCAAGCCTTTTGCCTCAGGATTTTCCCAGTGAAAAGGCCTTCTTGGATCAACTCCCAAGGAGAAGAAGGTATCTTGTAAGTCTAGAACAGTCCTGAAATGGTGTATGGGTCACAAACTGAAAATACAAGGTGACCGCTGTGTGGTGATGCCATAGAGATTTTGCCCAAGGTAGCCTGCCATGTGGCTGGATGCCTCTGTTTCCTGTGACACCTGACAACAAGGGAAGGGGTCATAATGAGGTGGCATGGTTGATGACGGCCCACAGGTGAATCCTTAGTTTGGCCTCTGGGAGGAGAGCTCTTAGAACTTCCGGTTTGTGGCTATCTGTCTCAGGCTGACGTAAGTATCATCTTCCTCTAAGAGAACAGTGAGAGTTAAAAGTACAGGATTAAATGAAAGGGAGGCTCCCTGAGGGTGCGAAGGAGCTGTCCCCATCCCCACCCCCAGACCCCGGGCTGTAAGTTTGTGCCTGGCAGGTGGGGTGAGAGGCAAGAGTCCTGTGGCTCCAGTGATGGGAAATTTTTGACAGAGGAAACTTTTTTTATGTACTTAGTACAGGGTCTACAGGGTCTTACCACACAGATCAGACTTGTAGTGATCCTCCAATTTTCAGCCTGCCAAGCACTGGCATTACAGGGGCACAACCACATGTAGTCTCAATTGTCTCAGCGCAGCCTGGGGGTGGGATCAGCAAGGCACACCAGGGATCGGACCCCGGTCCCTGCGTCTGCCTAAGCAGGTGCTTTAATCCACTGAGCTATCTGGCCCCCCGAAAGAGGGAACTTTTGAAGGCAAGGAGTCCCATTCTGCTGTTTACCAGGAAAGTCACAGGCTTGCCCCCAGCTTTTGCAATGACTACAGGCTCTTTTGGGGCCCAATTCAATAGAGGTCAGTCTGTCCTATCTTTTCAGGCAAACTGAGTGTAACTTGTTAGTTAGAGCTGACAGTCCAATTTTCCTCAGTCAAAATGTGAAACTCAGAAGGAATTGTTGACAGTCATTGCAGGTGGGTGTTAGGTGATGTCATCTGACCAGGGCAGGCATGTCTGGGGAGGGGCAGCCTCTGTGGCTGGATGCAGGCGATAAACTTCAACTGACTGGAAGTAGATGAGCTGGGAGCAGGGGGTGCAACTGCAGCAGCCAGCAGGCTTCCAAGGCACAATTCTCAGGAGGAGCAGGCCTCTTTTTTCCTTTTTCTTTTTCTTTAAGATGCAGGGATGGTTGGCTTTCATTTTTAACTCCATGAAGTCCTTGTAGTCAGAGATTGTGGGTCTTAATTAATTAGTTCCCACTCTATCTTCCTACAGTGTATGTTATATACCCCTGAATGATGGTGCATTGGACAAAAGATGGATGACCCTCAGAGGCCATTCAGTTAGGTGTCTGCCTGGCCATGACCTTCACAGGGACTAAGCTTTGGTTTACCTGAGGGTGCAAAGCCTCCATTATGTCAATCACCACACAATGACAGGGAAAGGCCAATCAGCCACTGTGACGAGCACTTCCCAATCTTGGTGCACATCTGGAACAGCCTACTGCTATGCTGTCCATTCCACTCACTCACAAATTCATTCAACAGGCACTTGAGGTTAAACATTCCAACCTTCCTTCCCTTGGGTAGCCTTAATGAATAAGAGTTGATCAAGCTCCTGTTCTGTTCAAACGAAGCAGAACTGACAGACTGACTAACTGAGATGCCCCCATGGGTCTTACTAGAATCAAGCAGACAGGCAAACAGACAGATTGCCTCCTCTTTGGAGTCTGATGTGAGCTGTTTGAATGGGAAGTCAGAAATTCTCCTCTAGACATCCAAAAAGACTCAAGAAATCTGAAGACTTACCTTACTGTCAGAACCTGGAAAGGTCTTTTCTTTGCCTGTGAAAGCCACAACCAGTGCCCAAAGATTCAACATGGTTAATCTTCCGGGCTGATGCCACCTGGAATCACCAACAGGAACCAATCAAGAACACCAAAACGATATCCAGAATTTAGAGGCAGATTTATTTACATTAATGGGCAATGACTGGGATCATTCCTAGAATATGAGGCCCTGACCTCTGGTGGTGTAGCCCTTACATATTAAGGCCTGCCGTCATTGCAGGTAGTTGGTTTTTAAGCAGGTGCCCACAAGCCCAGAGGCAGAATGGCTGTTGACTGGGGGTTGGATTATACAATGTGCATCATAGTGAGCAGCTCTGCATCACAGTGACCTGCCATCTCTAAAAGGCAGGAGCAACCAGAACGGCGATGGGAGCTATTGCTAACAAACTGAAGTATACTGGCTGGAGAGTGGCCATTTTCTGCCACAGAACTTCGATGTAGATTTAAGGGCAAGGGAAATGGGCCTAACACGTTACCTTCAAAGAGTATTCAAGCAGGATTCCTACCAGGATATGACTATGGCAGTATTTAAAGAAGCTCTTGTTCTGCTTACCTAAGGGTTCAAAATAGTACATGTCCATCTCTGGTTTTCTGAAATTATATAAGGAAATAGAGGTAAAGGGAATTTGCCAAGTTACTATTGACTACACTTCTCTCTGTCTCGCACATTCACTGCCATCAGAGAATCAAGATTATAACAAACGTTTATACAGGAGCTATTGGAAGTGAGTACTATATCCTTCTTAGTAGCCATAGTGAATTATCCTCTTATTAAATATATTACTGTCATTATCTTAGTTATTTGTGGGCATTCTTTTGTCCCTCTATCAGATCATCAGCTTTGAAAGACAAAGACTAGTGTTGTTTATATCTATATTTCCAATACCTGGAATTTCCAATTTCAAAACTGTGTAAGCCTTCAGGTAGAATTACTGTGGAGGACAAAGACCTCTTGCTCAACTTCTTAGAAATTATGTGTAATTCAAATAACTCTTAATTTAACTGAATGATTTACATGGACGAGTTTCAATATCTTCACTTTAGCTTTTTAAAGCAATTTGTGGAAACAATTGCAATGTTTCGATAAACATAATGCTTCTGTATGGTTTACAATTTGACGTATGCAGCACATTTCAGAGCATCAAAGTTCAGCTTTTCAAAACTGAATTTAAATAAACTCTACTGTCATACTATAAGAAGATCTTACTATTAAAGCCTTTTAGAATTATAACTGAAAGGTGGAAAACTTTTTCCAACTACATGGAAAAATGTGAATTCTAAACATCCACACTAAACTATTACATTAATGTTCCTTTTTTAAAGTTATATGAAGGGAACTAATAAATAATTCTCTACCTAATGAGTCATCTGAGTCTCATATAAACATGATTTCTTTAAAAATAACTACTCCTCTTCCTTGTCTTGTACTTGTCCTTTTTAATTTGATACAGTTTAAATTTTCTCCCTTAACTTCACACAACTTTAAATTTAATTATCTTGATATTTCTTCTTTGCGTCCAGAATCCAATTACATCATGGTAGATGGATTTGAAATGACTGTGCCTTGATGCTTAGTTCTTCTTTAAGTGGATTATGTTGTAATGTGCTGTGGGTTAGTTATTTTTGTGTACTTAACTTTTTCTTGCTGTTTAACTTTTCCTCTATCTTGTAAACTATATTTCTAAAGAGCATGTATTATCTATTTAGGTTATTTATGTGGTTTTGAAGAAGTTTATTCTTCATATTTTTGGTTCATTGCTCCAAGTTCTTTTGGATTCTGGTCCTCTATCTATGTAGTCTTTTTTAAAAAACATTTTTTGCTTTGTTCATATGCTCTTGATTTTCTCAAAAAAATATGTTTAAGGCACACTCGTAAGTGGTTTGAGAGAGTGGCCAAGCAACCATAATTGCATTTGGCCTACGACAGCTTTACACTGTGATAGTCAAGGCTATAAATCCTTTACCACATGGGCCAATTTATGTCACATTCTTTACAGATAAACTTTATTCATGACCTTGTTCAAAATTTACACATATGTATATTTTTCTTCACTAGAGAAATTAGATAAAAACATACCATGTATGGACAAAACCAAACTCAACCCCATTGCTGAAAAGTAAAGAATGCCTAACAGTATGGCTCATGCCTATAATCCAGGCATTTTAGCAAGCTGAAACAGAAGGGTAAGGTTGAAACCAGCCTGGGAAACTTGGTGACTGAGACCCTGTCACAAAACAAAATTTAAAAAGTATAGGAATGTAGCTCAAGTCTAGGAAAGCCCTGGATTTAATCTCAAATACTGGGGGAGGGGGGTACTATAAGTGCTCTACCATTGATGGCATATTCCTGTCATTCCCATTTTCTTTTAAATGAATTTAGGACAGGGTCTACAGGGTCCACAGGATCTCACTACGTAGATCGGGCTTGTGGTAATTCTCCTGTTTTCAGCCGCCCAAACGCTGGGATTACAGGCACACGCCACCACGCCCAGCCTCAATTGCGGTCTCAGCGCGCCCTGGGAGCAGTGCCAGCACAGCACGATGCAGAGCAGACTCCAGCCGCTGTGCTCTGCCGAGGCAGGTGCTTCAGTCCGCTGAGCCAGCTGGCCAGCCCTTCCTGTTATTCTTAGTAATTGATGGTACATCCTGAACAGGAAAGATTATTGCAGCTTTCATGGATTTTTCATAATTGTAGACCTCCTTAGATAATAAGCATGCAAGGGCCGGCCAAATAGCTCAGCAGATTAAAGCGCCTGCAGGCAGGTGCAGGGGCCAGAGGCTCAATCCCCAGTCCTGCCATGCCAGCCCTGCCCCTGGGGTGTGCTGAGATGGCAATCGAGACTGGGCATGATGGCACGTGCCTATAATCCCAGCTCTTCAGAAGCTGTAAACAGGAGGATCACTACGAGTCCAATCTAGTAGTGAGACCCTGAACACCCTGTAGGCCCTTCCTTAAAAAATACAAAACAAAAACAAACAAAAAAAGATTAAGCGTGCAGAGTAAGACATATAGTGTTACACAGAGATGCATACTAGGCATTTAAAAAGTAGTGTTTTGTGAAGTATTTTGAACAAAAAGTAAAATTTTGACTAGACGTCCTTGGGAAAATATCTCTGAGAATACCTACTAGGCAACAGATTCAGTATGGTGAAAAAGGAAAACAGTTCCTCTGCTGAGGGAGCTCACAGTCCAGGGTGGCAAATAGATCCTAAAGAAGCAATTACCCCTCTAGTAAGTGTACTAATAAGGTGAGGGTCTGGTATATCAAGTATTACAAGCAATGCTAACCCAAGCAGTAGGGACAACACTGAGAAGTGACATTCAGAATGAAACCGAACAGATGGTGAGTTAGCAAGGTGAAACGAGGGGCATCATTGCATATGAAGCAGTAAGGTCTTCTCAAGAAGCTCAGTCAAAGATATAGCATCAAAGGTTTTGGGGACTCCTTAGGCAACACCCTTTCAAAATGGCCCATTTTACACGTGGGAAATCAATCCTACCAAAGTGAGTGTTGTCTGAATAGAGGAGGAGTTACATCTGAGAAAGGGTAATTGACAGAAGTGGAGGGACATACAAATAATAGAAGTAAGAGATTGTAGGTCAGACAAAATACCCATGTAAGAGTTTAAAAGAGAAGAGGCAGCCCAATAGGGTGACTTGCAGGTCTTCTGTCTTTGCCCATCACAGGAACAGCCATTTTGAGAAGTCCCCCAATAGATAGGCTTGAGCTAGGTAGACCATTCACCTCATTGTCCCCTGTCCAAAAACAGAGGAGGTATGATTCTGTACAGAGAAGATCCCAGAAACTCCTAGATTTAATTACCAAATTCAGTAGCATAGCAGGATACATAACCAACACTCAAAAGTTCAATACACAAATAAATTCACAGAGAGACAGAGAAATTAGGGAAACAACATCATCTACAATAGAATCAAGAAAAATGAAATACTTAGCAATCAGTCTCAAAGGATCTGAAAAAACCTGTACATTGAAAATTATAATACTCTGGAAAAGGGAATCAAAGAGGATATCAGTAAATAGAAAGATATCCAGTTCTTGGATAGGCAGAAATATAGTGAAGACAATATCCTTCCAGACCTGTTATGTAGATTTACTGCAGATTTAATGCAATCCCAATCAAAACACCAATAACATACCTCACAGAACTACAGGAAACATTCCTAAAATTCATATGGAACCAGAAAAGACCTAGAACAGTGAAAACAATTCTGGCTAATGAGACAATCCACAACCAGCGTTCAGGACCAAATAAATCACAATTTGGAGAGGATAAGACCCACTTGTTACTGTTTTTAAAGTTCTCCAGATGATTCCAGGGTACAGCTGCTATTGAGGAGTACTAACCTAGGTCTTCTTAATGATATATGCCAGGGGTATTTCATAGACTAGAAAATAGTCTGCCTTCTTTGCTCCCAGTTGGCCAAAGCAGGTAATATAAAATGTTTCTAAATCTCTGCTCATAATAATTCCAGGACCCCCAGGAAAATGGAGGATGCCCAAAGGAGGAGACCAATAGGCTCCCGACTCTGAGCCACCATCCCTTCTTGGCTTTGTGCCCATTTTTGCCACTCTTCATTTCCCTCTGTCAACACTCTTCTACCCATCCTATAGATATTACAGCCTTCAAGGTTCTTTCCTAGGCCTGCTTCCTTTCTTAATCTACATACATCTCATACAAATTTCCAAATATCACCTATTTTTGTTTGCTTGCAAATTCTTAGATCTTGCTCATTTTTTCTGCCTTATGTTCCTGCTGGACATATTTTGTCAGATGTTTTGCAGCATGTGTGAGTGTTAGCTCAACACCTCCATTCCGTATCCCACCTTCCCTTGCCTTTAATGTTCACCTTACCTCTTATCAGTGTCTTCGCTATCTGCCCATTTGTTTGGCTTTACCACATGCCTTCACCTCACTTCCCAGACTTCCTTAAGCTTGTTCTTGCCTTTCTGCCATGCCTCTCTCCTATTTGTTCTACTTCAGCCAAACTGATTTTCTAAAATACAGTGATTGGGGCCAGGGAGATGTCTCAGTGGAATAAGCACTTCACTGGCAAGCTCAAGGGCCTGAGTTCAATCCCTGTTTCCACAAAATAAAATAAAATAAAGTACAGTGATTATTTGTGCCTAATAAAAACGCTGTATTCATCGCCTTTGAAATAAAATTCAGAGCCCATAAAATATTCCACAGGGACCCACATGATTTGACCTTTATCCACATTTCTACTCATATCTCTTGTTATCCTTCTTCCATTCTTTTTTTTTTTTCGGAACCGGGGATTGATCTCAGGCCCTTGTGCTTGCCAGGGAAGCACTTATTCCATTGAGCCATCTCCCCGGCCCCTCTTCTTACATTCTATTCTTTTATTTTTTTATTTTTTGGTCCTGGGGATTGAACTAAGGACCTCGTGTTTATAAGGGAGGTGTTTAAGCCACTGAGCTATCTCACCAGCCTATCGCACTCTGTTCTTTAACCAAACATGCATTTATTCCAATGAATTTATTCTAGTTTTTTGAACATGGTTTATTTCTTATCTCTGGGTAAACTCTACTGTGTTAATTGCTCCTATCTCAGTGCCTGGTCCAGAATTAGCATCCAGAAAGACTATGGCATTTGTGCGCATGATGAGAGCAAATTCTGTAGGACTGATCTCTATATTGAGCGCTAGTATCTTTCTCTTGCCTTCCCTCACTCTGATCTCTAATGTTTTGGCCTAGAAGAGCCCTGGATCCCTACACGCAACTTCCCTTTCTTATGTTTCATCACCAACCCTGTCTTTCCTCTTTTTTTTCTATCTCTGCTTTTCAGATTCATCTCTATTTAATTCTACCTTTAATAGCTTAATGGAAAAGGTCATCAAGATTGTCTATTCACACAAGATGCACTGTCTCTTACAGTGCCACCTCAAGGAATTTACCTCACTTGCTTCTTTTTTGTGTATTCAGTACAGGGTCTACAGGTTCTCATTACACAGGTCAGACTTCTAGTGATCCTCCTGTTTTCAGCTCACCTGCTTCTTGAGCAGTTAACTTTTTCCAAAATTTAAGCAGTGTTATCACCAGGCATGGTGCACACACCTGTAACCCCACAACTTGGGAGGCTGGGTTTTGGTTTTTTTTTCCCTGTTGAGACTCCAAAGCTAAGGTCAATGAATATAAATTGCTCCTATATCTTAAAGAGAGATTAGAGCTAGACCATTCACACAGAACTTTGTAACGGGTAGCAACAAACCGGTTCCAGGCCCAAACCCTGTCTACATATGAGACAGGGTTCTGGGGAGAGAGAAAATAGTATCTCTTTCCAAAGAGAGTTGTATCAGCCTAATTTAGTAATAGGAAAAAGCCCTTGATTTCCATGCCAAGCCCTGTGGTAGTTTTTTGGCCTTAGGAGTACTACTAGTATACTTCTTGGGAGGACATGACCTGCATTCCTCAAGTCTGTCAATCACAGTGTAAAATATGGATTTTGCCTGGAAAGGACTAAAGAAAAGGTAGATTGGAGCTTCCTTTAACAAGTGAATGAGATGGGTGAACATTGTACTGTCAAGTTCCATCTTTTACTGAAAACAGAGCAAGGTTCCTATTTCTCTTGGGCTGCAATGGATACCCCAGCAGGTAACTAACCTAGCTTCATCACAACCAATGGAAAAATGTTGTAAGTTGTACCACCAGTAAGACTAGAGGAGTTTTAAATGGCCAACATTAAGTATGTTGCCTGTGTAAGAAAATGTAATAGGGATAGAGGTGTAGTTCAGTAGTAGACCACTTGCCTAGCAATTGGAATACCCTGAGTTCAGTCCCCAGTACCCAAACAAACAAACAAACCAGTATATTGGGAAAATTCCCAGCAGGAAAGTATTACAAGAACCCTAAGCAGCCCAGGGCTATGGCTCAGTGGTACAGTACTTGCCTGGAAAGTGCAAGGTCCTGAGTTTGATTTTACACACACACATACCCCACAAAAATTAGAAACATGTTTTAAAAAGTGCCTAATAAGAGAGGAATCATGATTTTTAGAATCATGCATTTTTCTTTCATTTTGCCTTTCTTTCCCTTTGCTCCTTCTGGAATCAGTATGGAGGATTAATTTTTTAAAAAGCAAAGTTATATATCCCCCTACTATAAGTTTCTGATACCTAAACTAGCAAAAAGTGAATCTAACTAGATAAAAAGGTAAAGTTTTGATATAATATTAGCTGGACTTTTTATTCTCTGAAATGAAATTGTTTATTAATATCTAAAGGATAGGAAATCTACCTTGAGATGTCATGGATAGGGAAATGAGTTTGAAACGCAGAGGTTTGTTTTGTTTTGTTTTGTTTTAAGTTTAAATTTGTTTTCTGGAAATCCCTGCCAGGTTGAACCCTTTTAATAAACCATTATATTTATACTCCTAAGAGTGCACAGATGTCATCAAGAGGTGGATGACCATGCATTAGAAGTAAGTTTAGGAAGTAACATACGAGATTGTTATCAAGCATTCCAGAGTTTATATACCCAAATGAAGGGCATACACTTCCTTAAAAAGTCACTTTAGAAGGCTGTGTCATTCTTTCATTAGTATTGCCTGTGCTCAAAATACCTGGAAAAGATCTCTTTGGGAATTGCTTTCTGAATTTATGGCACATTCTTTGATATCGTATCAATCCCTAACCTTTGTCCTTTAGGGTAAGTTGTAATTTTTAAGCAGCCAAGAGTTATGAAATTAAACTAAAGAATGGGATAAGTACTTAAAGCAAGACATTTTACTCGGGGTAAAAATAGGCCTAGGTTATGACTGTGAGGTGGATTTCTTCCATGACTTTTGCTGGCACAAAAGGCAATTCCAAT